ATGATTCTTCTAGAGGATTCATGATTGATATTATTTTTGAGGAGGTGTATATGACTTACAATTTTTTCAGGTAGTGTTTATGACTGGCTATTTTTGTGGATGTGTTCATGACTGATTGTTTTGTGGATGTGTTCATGACTGACTGTTTTGTGGATGTGTTCATGACTGACTGTTTTGTGGATGTGTTCATGACTGGCTATTTTTATGGATGTGTTCATGACTGACTGTTTTGTGGATGTGTTCATGACTGACTGTTTTGTGGATGTGTTCATGACTGGCTATTTTTATGGATGTGTTCATGACTGACACTATTTTTGTATATGAGTTCATGGCTGAGAATATTTTCTGGGGGCGTTCATGACTGACACCATTTTTCGGATGAGTTCATGACTGATAATTTTCCTGGAGGTGTTCATGACATCAGTGACTCCCCCAATTATCTCCGACAACAGCCATATGACAGTTAGATCAACATATGCTCTGGATAAAACCCCGTGACAAGAAACTAGAGAAAATGCGAATAAAGTGTAAAATGAATACTTAAGGGAAACTAATTCAAAATTGATTCAAAACTCAGATTTATGATAATTTAATTCAGGTCCGAGCTGAATGGATTATACATACAGGGTTATATATTAACATACGTGCGTACTATCAAACACACGATCACATACACAAAACATGCACACCCACGCATACCTAAACATACACATATATGCACACACTCTACATTCTACATATACAAATACGCATATAAGTAGACAGATTTACAGATAAATAAAAGCCATAAGAAAATGAAAAATGAAACAAGTGATCAGAGAGGAAATAAGATCATAATGATACAGACAGCGTGAAAAGAGTTGAAGTGGTAATGATGATGGTGAGGAGGAGGTTGACAACGATGATATAAATAATGATTATGATAGCAGCGTTGTTAAAGAACACGTAGGGGCCAGTGAGGAGAAGCGATCAGAGAGAGAAACAGAGGAAAAAGCGGAAGATGAAGAAGTGTAAAGGAGAAGCAGATGAAGAAGAGAGAGGTGGGGCAAAGAAGAGTGGGAAACGTACACAAGAAAACAATTAATGAGAGAGGAAATACAAGATGGAAAGGAATGAATACGAGAGGGGAAAAGAGGAGAGTATACAGAGAAAGGAAGATTAAAAAAATGGAAGAAGAAGGAGAAAGAAAGAAGGGGAAAATGAGAAGAAGTAGGAACGCACAGAAAGAGAAAAGGAGGAGGAAGAGGAAACAGAGAAAGAGGAGAAAATCCATAAGCAGATGAAAAGGAACTATCCACAAAGGAATCAGAGAAACGGAGGAGATGGAAAGAGAGAGAGAAAAAAAAACACTTGTATGACAATCCAAAAAGTACCAAAGAGCTACTTACACGGAAACCACAAGAAACTCGAGAAACCACTTAGACGGGGATGAAAGCAAGGGTGAGAAAAGAAGAACCTTATAGGTCAACCAGAAGAGTGAGAGGAACCACTTAGAAGAAGCATCGGAACATTAACTCTGGAATAAGAGAGGAAGAAGAAAGAGGGAACATTTAAGAGATATAAGAAGAAGAGAAAAAGGAAATCACCTAAACTTCAATCAGAGAAAAGGAAATGGAAGTAAGAGAGAGAGAGAGAGAGAGAGAGAGAGAGAGAGAGAGAGAGAGAGAGAGAGAGAGAGAGAGAGAGAGAGAGAGAGAGAGAGAGAGAGAGAGAGAGAGAGACAGAGAGAGAGAGAGAGAGAGGAAAGAGGAAAATAAAGAAAAGTAAATCAGAATAGGCAACAGAAACACCTTAAACGGAACTCAGACGGAGGGAAAAGAAAACAGGAACCAATAAAGGAAAAATCAGAGAGAGAAGAAGAAAAAAGAGGAATCAATAAAGGGAAAAATAGAGAGAGAAGAAGAGAAAAGAGAAACCGATAAAGGGAAAATCAGAGAGAGAAGAAGAGAGAGAGAGGAACCAATAAAGGGAAAAACGGAGAGAGAAAAAGAGAAAAGAGTAATAAGCAACGAACCATTTAATCGCGAATCATTGAAACAAGGAGGAAAGAGGAACCAATAAATAAGAAAATAAGGGAATCAGAGAATAGGAGACGAGGAAGGAACCACTAAAGAGAATCCAAGATAAAGAACAAAACACTTACATAGAAAGACAGGAAGAGGAAAGAAAGAGAGGAGGAGACTCACATAAACATGTGAGACACAGAAAGAGAGAGAGAGAGAGAGAGAGAGAGAAGAAGAAGAAGAGGAACTACTTACAAAGGAAATCAGAATAAGCAACAGATTACTTACACCGGAATCACATAAAGAGAAAAATGAGAGAGGAGCCACATATGAGGAAAATAGATAGATAGATAGATAGATAGAGAGAGAGAGAGAGAGAGAGAGAGAAAGAGAAAGAGAGAGAGAAAGAGAAAGAGAGAGAGAAGAAGAGAGAAAAAGGCTAATCACTTAAACGGGAAATCAATAAGAGAGGAAGAGAAAAGAGACACCACTTAAGG